GCCGGGGGGCGGGGGTCACCAAGCAGCAGACATTCCTACAGCGCTCTCAGAGGGTAACGGCTTTTTTAAAACTTACTTTATTTTTTTTTATTATTTAATTTTAACTTTATTTATTTATTAATTTACATTTGACTGGAGAAGGACAGAGCGAGAGGGGGAGAGAGGCAGAGGGAGAGGGAGAGAGAGACAGAGACAGAGAGAAGGAAAATGAGAAAGTAAACCATCAGTTCCGGGACTCAAACCATGGTCAGCCATGTGGGAGTCCAGCACCCTTCACCACCATGCCACCTGCCGGCCCCGAGAGTAGCAGCTTTTAAGAAAGTTACTTAGTAATATACGCAAACAATTTCAACAAGGTTCATATAGTTTAACCTGGCGATTCCTTGTGCAGGGATAGCCCATGGGATGATTCGGATGTGCGACAATGAAAGCGATTCCCGGAGATGGTCATCTCAGTACTCAGCAGCACCAGGACGGCCGGAAGCTGGCGCCCGGGGAACTGAGACTAGTGTCCACGGCACAGCCACTCACCGTGCAGGAGCGCTCGTGAGACTGGACTAAATCAGCACAAAGGGGGATACAGAGAGCAGGCACCACGGCCCTCGCTTTCTTGAAACGGACAAACCATGCCTATATGTAGAGGGGAAACACAGGGAGAAGACGCGCTGGTGTTCGACGAAATTTTTTTTTTGAGACGTTCTTGCTATCGGGCGCGTGCACTCGCCAGACAGAGAGAAACAGAGAGACAGAGAGACAGAAAGCGAGAAATCACTCCCCGGGGGGGATGGCCACACCACAATCCCTTCTTCTCCATTCTCCTCTCGGGATCTTGGGCACGCACGCACACGCGCCCGGTGTGAGTTTAAGCCACCGGGTTCGGGACTTGAACCACAGTCAACTACATGGGAGTCCAGCAACATAGCCATTACGCCAACTGCTGGTCCCGACAAAACTTTCTAATAGAAACACCAGTCTCTTGGGTCGTGTTTCTCACCCACAGTTCTGCAATCTTTCTCTTCACTGGGCACAAAGACAACTCCTACTGTTTCAGAACCTCTGTGAGAAAGCTGTGGGGAAATGCTGCATATTAAATATATACAAGGGGACCTCAAAAAAGCTTAGTTCAGTGCAAAACTTTAAAAAAATTCATACATATTGTTTCATATGTGTTCTCCATGAACTTTTTTTAATCGTCAGAGGGCACATGTGCTTGCCAAAGAAAGAACTCCCCCAGCAGAGCACGGCTACAGGGCCGGATCTCGGCAAACTCCGAGAGGAACCCAATATGCCACATTCTGTAGGCCTGAAAGTTATTCTTAACAGCCACCACCATTATAAAGCGAGTGACACAAGAAAGGATTCGAGATAAAGGACAGGGGAAGAAAGAACACGGTCTTGAGCCAAAGAAATAAAACGCAACATCGTAACAAACATGAATCATCCCCTGACGGGAAATAAATCGTGCTTTTCCAGTCCTTCCCACGTAACTACCCTACAACACTATCTTAATTTAACTCCAAAAGTCGTATTTATTTTCACCTTCTCCCTTTGTTCTGCCTGCTCATTTTTATGTAACAAGTCCTTTTTCTTAAAGAATTATTTTATTTAACTTAATTAATTAATTAACTAATTTTAATTTCACCAGAGAGAGAGAGAGAGATTTGGAAAGTGAGAAAGCAAGCCACCAGGTCCGGGACTCAAACAGTGGCCAGCCATGTGGGAGTCCAGCGCCTTAACCACCACACCACCTGCCGGCCCCGTATCAAGTCTTAACTACAGAATCCACTGACTCTCAGAACTCCCGCAGTGTCAAAATGTATTCTATCTCCTTGCGCAACGGATGATTTTCATAAGTAATGATCAAATATACCATAAACTGAAGTGTCAAAATCTGATTTCCTACAAGCAAGGGCTGTAAAAAGAATCGAAGTTTTGTCTTCCCTCTCCCATACACGATGGACCATACCTTTCGAAGGCGTTTTCAGCAAGTGCACGTGAGCCCTGGCTGCCAAAGGCTTCAAATACAAGGACCCTGGGGCACCATTTTGGAAAGCTGGTTTGGGAGGTTTCTCCTCGTACTTGATGGCAGGAGCAGGCCCCGCTGTAAGAAAACAGAAAAAGGCCCGTTACTTCCGACCTGCGCCGCACCAGCCTTCCACGTAAGAACCTCCAACTGCCCGTCACCGCGGAGCGCTGGGAAAACCACGGCTGACAATACCTAGCCCCGCCAGGAGCACGAAGTCAATGCTACACCCAGAGAGACCACCAGTTTGCCTGGCAAAGTCCAGGCCATGCCTCTTGTCCAGTTCGGCTTTCATCCCAGATAAAAACGGGGAGACAAACTGCAGTCACCCACGCTGCGTAACAAGAATGTCTGGGTGCACTGGGACGAGCACCCGCTGCACAGTCAGGGCGGGGAGGCGGCCAGCTGCTACTGATGCGAGAACGCCCGGGTGCAGTCTCCTCGGTCGCCGTGAGGAGGAGACTGGGACCGACCCCCGCCACTGCAGCGAGGAGCTGGAATGCTAGTCTCCGTCCTCGGACAGACGTGCCTGCCTCCAAAGAAAAAACGTAAATGCGAATCTCATCTAAATCATATAAGTCGCTAATATTACATGTAAAAATGTCCCTCACATCAAACCACAGTGGATTTTTTTATTGGCTTAAATCATCTTCTACAGCGAATTCTCTCCTTTTTAACGAATTATTTATGTAATTTATTTTTTATTGGATTAAATCATCTTCTACAGCAAATGCTCTCCTTTTTAACGAATTATTTATGTAATTTTATTTATTATTATTACTGTTGCCATTATATTCATTTGCTATAGGGCAAGTATGCTCATGGGAAAGGGACACGAGAGAAAGAGGAGTTATATTCATTTGCTATAGGGCTCATGGGAAAGGGACACGAGAGAAAGAGGAAGAAAATAAGAAAGCAAGTTGCCAAGCCTGGTACTCGAACCACCATCTGTTCATGTGAGAGTCCAGTACCCAAACTACCACGCCACCTGCTGGCCCCTCAACACCCAGTTCTAAGCATCCAATTCTACTTTGCCGTTCCACCCTTACGATCACAGATTTATTACTAACGCTGGTCCCCTCCCCACCCCCATCTCCAGGGTAAGATGCCTACGTAATTTACAAACACATTATAAATGTGATGGCAGCTAGCAAGTCCCCCTAAGCTAGGCCACCCCAATTCTATAGCAGTGCCCACAGCTGTCATACTCAGACCTTGCAAAGACACGCTATGACTGTCCCCGCTCCACATCCAGTCCCTGTACACTGCGCCAGCCGGTCACTCCCCTGGTGTCCAGGTAACATTTCTATTATTAGGTCAAATCCACATGGGGCCTGTCTTCCAGCTGACAAGCTTCTGTCAACTTCCTTCCTTCTTTCCGATTCTCACCTGCCCCAGAACCTACTCGATTTTTCCAAAGCTGACAGGAAGCCAACAGAAATGACAGTTCTGAAGATACCATTACTACGAAACTCAACCTACCATTTTAAACAATGGATAGGGAATGACTTCAGTCTTAAAATAACAACCAAAATGACATAGAGCATATATTTTTAGAATTTCATATAAAATGGATATTAGGTTTCAATTAGCATTTACTGAATCACATCCAAAAAAGGAAGCAAATGATGTTACAGTCTTACCCACGTATTATAACAATTTGGATTTTAGTTTTACTTTTCGGGAAGCAATTTTTTATTATATTCAGCATCAAAAAAGTCACTCAGATTTTGAAAAAAAAAATAAATTTAGTTCAATTTACAGACCTAATTAAAAAATCGTACGATTTTTAAAATCCAGGCTTTTCTAAGTTTCAGACACAAAGACCTCCAGTGTACAAAGAATTCGGTAAAAGATTTCTCACTAAAGCAAGGGACATGTTTCTCATGAGATTCGGCCCTGTCCTCCCCTTGGCTCTCTGGCACACACAGACAGAAGGACCGTCCTGGAAAAAGCGGTCCCCTCGCCACTCTCCCGGCCCGGGGCAACGCTGCATCAGCGCCAGCTCTGTCATCGGTTTTGTGACACTTGAGTCAATGTCTGTATGTTTATACTGCATTTGGGGACCAGCAGATGGCATAATGGTTATGTCACTGGACTCCCACATAGTCGACTGTGGTTCAAGTCCCAGACCAGGCAACTTAAAACTCACACCAGGCATATGTGAGTGCGTGCCCAAACTCCCGAGAGGAAAAGGGATTGCAGTGTGGCCATCTCCCCAGGAGGGCTGATATCACGCTTTCTGTCTCCCTGTCTCTCTGGCAAACACACACCCCCTATTGCAAAAATCTACTTGAAAAAAGAAATACTGCATTTGGCTCAGGTACAAACACACATTTATATTTTTATACATACTTACATGGCTATATCGACCACACATGTGCATGATATACATTCATACACTCTATGATCATCCATCACACACGCTTCGAGAGGTACTATATCCAAAAGCTAACTCAGTGGTAACAGTGCCCACAGACCAAGTGAACAGTGATTGTTTCGAGCAATGAAATGGTATATGCGATACCCACATCTGGCCCCACCCTGGTCACTGCCTGGCTGTGCTGCCCCTTCACCTCTGTATCATGAACGGGTTTCGAGACCAGGCGTGGACATGGACAGTGCCCATGCTGTCACACGGGCCCCAGTAACTGATTAGGGTCCCACTGCCCCAGGTGCATCCTTAGAACCCTCCTAAACCTAATACGAAACACAGAGAGGACAGGCAGGTGGGTTAATGGTTAAGGCACTGGACTCCCACATGGCTGACTGAGGATCAAGTCCCAGACCGGCAGCTTGCTTTCTCTTTCTCTTTCTCTCTCTCTCTCTCTCTCTCTCTCTCGCTCATGTGTCCTATAGCAAGTTAAAAATAATAATAATAAATGAAATGAAACACATAAATAGCTGGGTTTTATTAGTCAATTGCTTTCACTATGTGACTACGACATATCAACTCTGTTACTTCCAGTACAGAATCAATAATTACTTTTATTACATTTAGGCAAATAAAGCATTTGTGAAGAGACAGTATCAATTGAGACTTTTTTACACTTATGACTAATCCAGTCTTAAAATCAATTCCAGAATAAGCGCAGATACACTGTGGAAATACAGAGCTCACAGCTATGCCACACCAAAAGGACGAGAAAGCAAAAGTGACTTTATAAAGCAGATCTACGTAAATAAATAAAATCTTATCCTTTTTTTTTTCCCTGTGCATAAAGCATAGATTTCTGACACAAATAACATAATGCTTTGTTTCATTCACTTCGAAGGATAAACATAGAAAAAGACTGACGAGTATCAGCTTCCAGATTTTACGCTTATTTTTGTGTATTTCTATCACTTCCCTGCCG